GCAGCTGTTAACATAACACATCGACGTTCCTCATGTTGAAGATGCCAAACCATCTGAAATAGACGACATATTCTCTGGCAAAGCTGCCATATCGAAGGCCTCACAGCCCCCTGTTTTACCCTCCGGAACAAGCACAAGCAAGCCAGCGAGGCTCGCGGCCGCCTCCAGTCCTGCCAATGGCCTGAAGAAAAAGAAGAAACAGAAGAAGGCCGAAGAGGCTAAGGCAGGAAGTGAACAAGCATCCAAAGATGTCGTGACTGATACAACACCAAATCCGGAACCCAAGCCTCTAAAACGGCCCGCCGAAACGATCGTTGACCCCTCCCTCCCTCGACTCTCCAAGAAACCCAAATTCTCTTCCAATCCCCTCACCAACGCATCCCTGACAACGAAGTCCAAACCTCGAAAAAAGCCGGAGCTGGATGAGGAGGAACGCGCGTTTAGGGACTCGAGGGGAAACGAGCCGAGACGGAAGACGGAGGAGGGGTGGAACGTCTATAAGGAGGACGAGCTGGGGATTGGCAAAGAGGGAGGTGGTGGGTACTTTTCTTTTTCGCTGAAGGTTCGATGCTTATTTAGTGCAGATACACCGCTCTGCCCATTTGACTGCGATTGTTGTTTCTGATGACTGGTCTTGAGTTGTTGTATGATTTAGTGTTGGCAAGCCATGCATTAACATATCTGACAAACGATATATTGTGCAGGATGGGAATATCTAGTACAGCAGAGAGCAAGCAGAAAATAGGAATTCCCTACCGAAGATATACCGGTGTTGCGAACCGGGAAGCGTGCTGCAGAGGTGTAGCACTGGTCCAGGCTGGACCGGGAGGATTGCTGATAGTTAGTCGTGGGTTGATTGTTACAGTGATATACGTATCGCTGGGGAGAAACCGAGAATGCATGGGCTGAGCGATAGCATGACGAGAGCGTGGGAGAGCGCATTCGAGAGTTATTGCAGACACGGGACAAAAAGTTAAATGCGCTTGATATCGAGCTTGTGGTATTTCGCCACGGCCTTCACCAGATTCGGTTTAGCTTGAGCGCAATCCAGAATTTTGTCATGATCAGGAATGACTTTCTGAACGCGCTTCCATTGTCCGGTCGGCTGGTTCGCTGTCGGCCGATCCATCCCTACAAAGTATCCCGCCTGGTTTTCTTCTAAGAACGCGACTGTTTGATGAGAAGCTGTGTAGCCCAGCTCCTTGGTTAGAAACGAAATCGGAAGACTCTTATACCTGTTGTCAATGACATCAGCGTTTGCAAAAGATCCAGGTGTCGTCGCAGCTTACGCAGTGCACATGATTATCAGTGCATGGCATCGTTCTCTACCAGCGTAAAAATCCATCATGTAAGGTCCCATGTTAGGCGCGTTCAGGTATAGGTCAAAGAACGCGTGATAGTTGTTAGTTGCCGTCGCTTTTTGAACGTCTAAGGCATGCCGTATGCAGGGCGTTGCTTTCTGAGCTGGTGTAAGCTGAGCGATTAGTGCATTCAGATCTGTAGAGATGTCAGGTCTAGAAACGATGCTGTGCACACCGACTCACCACTACGTGATTTGGTATAGACGAAGTAGAGGATACGATATGCAAGAAACTCTTCATAATGACCGTCCAAGCCCAGAGCATGTAATGAATGAAGAGCTGACGAACACTGAATGTACTCCACCAGATCTTTCTGCACGACGGGTCAGCAACGGTGTCAAATACGGAACGATAAACGCACATGTTCCATGGCGATTCGCGCATGTATCTCATATACTTTGACTGTAAAAGATTTCTGGATACGTTGCACCTGTCTCTAACTCAGCGAATGAAGTATCAGGCGGCGCAGTACCCACGATGAGATCCTGCCTTATGCTCTTCAACTGGTCGCAAACGTAGTCGTACTTCACCGTCTGAGCCTTGTACTTCTTCAGGACAACTTCGAGAGCCTGGACCAACACTTCCAATGGTCTGACGTTGGCCGGATCAGCGTCCTAAGCTGTTATCAGTTCAAGTCAGCGACTGATATAAAAGGTGGACGCACGCTTGTTAGTCGGAGATATGACTTCTCGAGATCTTTGCTGCGACCAACGATCGTATGTCTGTCCCAATTCAGCACGTTCTGGTGTAGCATATCAGTTTCTTGGTGAACATGAGGCATCAGCCTAGAACGCACAGGATCATACGCATTCTCCACGTTATTCTGGTAGACAAATTTTGACTTCTTCTTCGGTGTAGAACGCAGTGATTCCATGCGGTCAAGTAAGGAAGCTCCATTAGCAGGAGGTGTATTTACGTGACGTGAATATCCCTGAGCGGGCCGCTCCCCTGCCTGGCGTTGCCGCTCGATCTCATGCTCTCTCGCGAATCTGTCCTCTCGTCTTTGACGCAATGAATCGGTTGCAAATCCGTTGCTGGAAGTGTTAGTAGTCTCCCAGGAATTGGTAAAAGTAGCTTTCTTGGCCGCCTTGGCTGGTTTCTCCAACACATTCCCAGCGGACAAAGTATCTCTGCCAAGCAGTCAAAACGCAACATCCAGCGCATATAGCTAGATAATTCTTACAGTTTCCTCTTGGATGGTATCTTAGGCATGACAAACGGCTTCATGCTAGAATATCATAATGATCAGAGGAGGTGTCAATCAGATGACACACGATGACGCACCTCTTGACTTCAACTTTGTCCCAATCTGTCGTCTCTAACGTACCGTCCTCATAATGCTTGGCCACGATCTGCTTAATCTCATCCATAACAGCAAGCTTGACAGACGGTGTCGCTTCGGAAAGACATTTCTGCAGCCATAGCCTGAGAGTGAGTGAGTATACAGGGTACATACTTTGTACTTGGGTGGGCTCACTTCAGCTGCGGGGGCCAAGCTGTCATCGACATCTTAGGAGAAAGAATTTGAGCAGTAGACAGTAATGATTGAAGAATATTAGCTAAGAACAGGTCTGATTCGACGGTCGATGAGCGATACTCGATAAGTACGACGTTCACGAAGAGAGGAGGTGATGGGAGGTGGGTAAGAAGTGCCTTAGCGACTACTTCCGCCACCCGAGTTTAGGGCAGCATCGGGGAATGGCTCACTTCTTCCATGCCCTTCTCATATACAAAACATTGAATCACCCATAGCGCAAACGCGTTTCGAATATGTACTTTAGGCCCGAAGGTTAGACCAGAAGCAGGAAATACAGGTGAATTTTATTCGCGCTAATAATTTTGTAGGAAAGCCCCCCCTAATCACGCAATTATTTTGGAGGATTGTATACTGTAAGGAAGGTATGTTAGTACCTAAGCCGCGCAACACAATCTCGGTGAACTGACAGAGTTTCCTGCTCTTGATAAGGCTCCACTTGAAGCGCTTGACGTAGAGACTGATGGTGGTAAGGGCGGAGAGGATGATCACGGCTTGCATGCCGATCTTCTTTCTAGTGTCGTGTTCCGGCTCTGCTGCCCAGTTCAAGAAGGTGACGACATCCTTGGCCATCTGGGACGTGGTTGCAGGGGTACCTAAGGGTCATGTCAGCATGTGTAACAAAGAGATACGTGCAATACGCGCCATCGGGGTACTCAACGAGACCGTCGAACAACAAGCGGGCCATGGAGATGGCACCACCGGGGAAGTATGGGTTGTAGTTCATGCCTTCACGGATCTCGACACCGGCAGGGGGGTCAACGTATCCGGTGAGGAGGGAGAAGACATAATCCTAAAGCGAGACGGTCAGCGCACGAGCATGGTAAACTCCCAACAGGTCCTTACACAACCACCATGCCGAGCCTTGATGATTAAGCTCAGATCCGGAGGGAGAGCACCAGCGTTGCCTGCACGAGCGGCCTCCTCGTTTGGATACGGCTTGGGCATGTAATCGGCCAACTTTCCGGGCCGTTGAAACATCTCGCCGTTATCATCGGGACCATCCTCATATTCAACCTCTGCAGCCATCTCCTTCACCTCGTCTACGGTATGCGATACACCGACAAGATTGCGCCATGCAATGCGATCGAGGGAGTGGCAGGCAGCGCACACTTCACGATACACCTGGTAACCGCGGCGAATGCTGGGAAAGATCGTCAGGTACTTGGACAAGTCGCGGTTCCTTGACAAGCGCACCTTGCATGATCGAAAGTGTTCAGGAACCCTTGGTGATCCCAAGGATAGTGAGAAGCATGCAGTCCGTCCTCAGCGGGAGTGTTCGCGCTCGCTTCGGGAAGGAAGGGAAGAGAGCCGTAAAGGTGGGTGTACCAAGCGATGGTGCCTGCAGAGACGAGAGCGAAGGTTATGGGAAGGGCATTGCTGGACAAGGGCTATATAAGGACGTTATCAGCGACGTCCTTCGTGATGGATGAAGTTAGCATACAGCACGGGTTGAGGCTTGAGAGGAAGCGAGTCGAACCTACGACATGACGTTCTTTTCAGCCTCCATTCGCATGCATCGCTCGGAACAACGAGCAAGAAGCATCAGTCGACATACCTGTACGTTAACTTGTCTGTTCAGCAGCCTAGCAGAAGCTCCCAAGCTCCTGGAGGAGAGCCTCGAGAACATTGCAATGGAGGAGGACGTCCGAGGAGACTTCTGCTATTCAGGACCTTTGGGAGGGGCGGAGTGACCGTAACGCTTCCGCGAACACTCCCTCCCGGGTGCGACCGGCCCTAACGCACGGACCCTCTTTGACGCTGGAACCAATCAGCGTCCATCAATTCCCGTTCGTGACTCTTTCCGACCAAAACAATTCCACTGGTTGGAGTAAACCCTTTCTATTAAGACTACCAGACAATATCACAACAAACCATTGATGGTACACAGCGAGGAGAGTGTCAAGGAACGCAAAGAGCAGGAGGCATCGCCAAAACCAAATTTCAGATTTCAAAAAAGGGAACGAACCTATGGTCTGCAACATCGGCCTCAGCGACGAGCAGCATGAAAGCGATATCTGCAATAGCAAAAGTGCAAAGAAAATGGTAAAGACAGAACGCAAATTCTCGTCAATAATATGTACAGAGTCACGTTGACGACCACAGAAACAAACCCAGATGAATTGAAGATGATGTGGGAGACAGTCGTGTTTACTCGCGGACAATCCAATCAGCGCTACGCTGAACAAGTTCCGGAGATAACTCCGAGTTGAAGAACAACTTTTCAGTTGCTGTTCTACTTGTCCAGCTCTTTTGGTCACGCAGAATCATAGCCTATCAATCATATTAGCAAGAATCATGGACTATGAAAATGAGGTGGCTTACTTGTTGAGCTCCGAAGTTGCGTTGATCAAAGGCGAACTCATCCCTTGTATCTTCCAGAGCATCCGTAAGGACTTGAATGTCTTGCAGGACAGACTGCAGGGAGCGAACAGTGCCCAGAATTAAAAGTTCGCGGCGGGATCGCCCCATTCCACCGCTTGTGGGAGGCGGCAAGCTCTGCGTAACAGTGTGCAACACAGTACGCAGAATCCGCTGCGTCTCCGCGAGGATACGACCAGCTTGCTCAAAGCTTTTCCTCGAGACGAGAACAAGAGCTCGAGTCATCATCTCAGATGCGAGAAGCTCCATCCTCCGCCGGACAATGTGGGGATCTGACTGACCATGAGGGGTTTGCGGTCGACCACTATAGGGCATCAGTGTCACCGTCAGGAGGACAGGGTGCACCAGGCGGGAGACGTTCTTCGCAGAAACTGGATCGAAGAACGAGCCATCTACTTCGAAAACCGGAGCTTCGTCAATCATGCGATCCATCACACCGTCCACCAGGTTAGTGGGCTCGTTGAGCGAAAGCGCATCAAGACCCATTTGCGCGACAAACTGATCCGTCGCATTGAGGGGACCACGTGATCTTAGTTCGTCGGCTTCACTGAGCGCCGAAAGACCACGACGAGTTGCGGCGGGGTCGGACTGGTTGTCGAGCTCCAATTCAACTAGCATTTCTTTGCGTTCACCATATCGGAGTTCCCCGATGTCGATATCGACATCTCTACCACTGGAAGACACGATAGCACCAGGGCCACCTGATACCTTGCGGATACGGAAGCGGGTACCATCGACCACTTTCAAGTGGAGCTTCATATTCAACAAGCCCATTGAGAAGTATCCGCCGAGGAGACCAGCCAGACATTCGCGCAGATCATACCTATGAAACATTAGTCGTGAATTGAAGCAGCTGTTAGTCATCGACGCACCAATCCTTGACGTAAGTATATGTGCCCTGAGTATGGTTGGACATCAACCACAAACACGCAGGATCATGCGAACGGCCCCAGCCAAACGAATGAATTGGAACACTGGCGTGGATATCAGACGAAGTTCATAGGAATATTTCCGGTAGATTACTTACTTCGCAGCCTCCGTCCGAGCAAGGACGAGGTCCATTTGTGCCCTCCGCATCGTATCGGCCGAATCACTCACAAGAATTACGCCCGAAACGTAATTGCGATTTTTGCGTTGCAGCACCACGTCGAGAGCTATAATTCCATGTCAGTTTAGATCTCCTAGCTTCATTGGGGATTTCAACATACCGTTATTTACAGCAGTCACGACATCTGTTTTCTCTTCCTTAGTGGGTGGGACTAGGAATTCATCATTGCCATCCTTCGCCATGCCCGCGATAAAAGCCTCGAGTCTCCTCTTGCTGGTCGACTTGCCCGGGCTTAAGAAGGGTGTCCTTCTAATACGGCCCTGCAAGCCAACTTCGAAGGTGACGAAGCTCAGGCGATCTCTCGGACCCATGTTGCCGAGGATGAAGTCCAGTGTCGATCGGAGCACGTTGAGTTTGAGAGATGCTGAACCAGTCGCCAACTGCCAAGCGTGGGGCGTCGGTACCGAAACGATGACGACGAGGTCCAACCCAGGATGTGGCAACGGCGGAAGGAGGTTCGACGGTTGCCCAGTCGGGACATTCTGAGCCCCGCCTGGACTCATAGGCGAACCGAGGGAATTATATGACGGCGAATGTTGCAATGAAGATGCAGAAGGGGCCTTCTGCAGCCGCATCTGTCCATTTGGACCCCGTACGTATTGTGCCGGAGATGCACCAGTAACAACAGATGACATCGTCGAGCGTTGCGAGGACTGCAGGAGGCTATCTTCCGTAGCACTCGCAGCGCTGTCAGACATTGTCGTCCCACCGCTGCCTGAGGGCGCCAGGCTGGCTCCATCACGACCATCCCTACCGGATGGCACAGGTCCACCACCAAGGAGCTTGGCGGCCTTGCCACTGTTAAACATAGCCACGGGCGGACCAGACTCGCACTCGGGGTCGGAGTTCTTCTCGGAACTGGGAGGAAGGCCGTCACGGCGCCTGCTGTCTTCAACCAACGCCATGACATGTCGTGCCCAATTTTGCATGCTGGTCCTATCGGGGTAAATGAGGATGAAGCTCTCATCCTCCATGTGGACTGTGAGACTCTGCTCTGGGTCCTTTTCGTCTGACTCTGTCACGGTGCGTATATGCTTGATGTATATGCGGCCCTTCAGTCTCAGACTGCCTTTGCCGCCGCCCTCTACACCACCGCTCGAGGAAGTCGCTCCCAGTATCCGGTTTAGGCCCTTCTTCTTCTCCTCAATAACGCAGATAACCGCCTCCCTGAAGAGGTAGACGTAAAACTCGCGAATCTGGGAGTCTCGCCGGACCTTGAGAATATCAAACATCTGAAGGGCACCCATCTGCGCCAACTCGTGCCCCTTCCAATCAGCAATGCGCGCCTTGAGATCATCTGCAATACGTTGGAATGCAGGGTTTGGCGTCTCGATGACGGGAGGCAAAGGTATATTGGGCGACTGTGGTGTGGGTTCGAGGACTTCTTTGGGGGATATGGGAGATACTGGGCCGACGTCAATCGAGCCGCCAGTCTGACGCTCCTCTCTCTCCCAAGGTCGAAGTGGGCCGGAGTGGTAGGAGGGAGAGGAGGCCGTCACCGGCTCCCTATCCTCGAATTCACGACCCCTCATTATCCTCTGATCGGCACCCCAGCTGGAATCCATCCTCCCACGGCCAATGGGACTCCTCATGTCGGGCGGCTTGCGATTTGGCAGCTCGACAATGACGATGCATGTCATCGCCTGAGTGGGCTGTCCATTGCGCGGGATGGTGGGGAACTCTGGGCGCACTTGAATACCAGGAGTGGTGACATAGACGCTCTGCTGGCCGGAAAGAGATGAATGCGTTGAGGCAGGCGGGGAACGGATGGGTTCGAGGGCATCGTCGTCCGTCGGGCTTTGTGAGTCGATAATGACGGGAGTTCGAGCACCTGGTCGAGGGGACATGTACGCCATCTCTCCTGGCCGTGCCACACCCGCGTTTTCGAGTCCGGGGTACAGCTGAGTGGTATTCTGCAGCCGCTTTCCTCCCATTCCGGTAAGCGCAGCAAGTTCTGTCTGGCATCAGACAATGTGTTCCAATCAAGTGAAGAAAAATGTACGCACTGTTGTTCTTGCTGCTATCGCCGTCGCCTACCTTCATGGGTCGGCGACACACACCGCACACGCCTAAATTGGTCTTTCGACCGGCACCGGTCCTGGATGAGAGCGGCCCATACACAGCCGAGAAACAAGCCTAGGCGCAGAATCAGAATCAGAAACCTGCCCTGATCGGGTGACAAAAATGCTCACCTCATGCAGTGCATGCCCACACTCTGGCACGATGTGTGGCTTTTCCCCCGGAATGCGGAAGGAGAAGCTCAAGGGCTCGAGGCAGACAGGACAGTCGTCCTCGTTCTCGATGGGTGCGGCGACGACCGCCTGCGGGATGGGAGCCATCGCCGCGTACGGGTGGGAGGTGTAGGAAGACGTGGATGATATTATTGACCGGGTATCCGCGGCCTGGCGCCGTGTTACTTTGAGAGGCTGGGTGGGTGCCAATTCGTGGGTGGGTAGCGGAGCGGATGATGGCTGAGGACGAGGGTCGTCGTAGCGAGGTACGTTTGGCGTCGAAGGGAGTGAGTCTCCACCGTAGATGGTCGGAAGCGTAGGATGACCACCGTAGCGTCCTTGCGCGGTCTCTCGTTCGGTCGGGGTGGAGAAAGAGGATAAGTTTGATCGAACGGAAACAGAGGATGGAAAGAGGGAGAAGGCTGAGGCACGGGCAGGCTGTGGACCCGTCTGATGGACGATGGAGAAGGAGAAGGCTGACCGAGACGCGTTGGTCGAGTAAGAGTCGCGCTGCGAGTTATGCCCTTGATTTGCTTGGGTGATTGTGTTTGAGTTGCTGTCGCGATGACGTCCCCAAGAGGATGGCTGCCACTTCCTTGACATAAATGCAAATTAAGTATGATGATGGATGGGGAAAGTTGGTGGTAGAGAAGGAAGGAGGTAGCCGAAGAACGGCGGGTAAAGCAGAGCAGAGAGTACCGGAATGAAGGGCGGATTCAGAAAGAGATAGATGATATATAGCCAGCGTAGAGAGAGGGGGTTGGTTGATATGTTTTGGGGGGTATTGAAGCAAGTGTATAACAATGAGGAGTGAATAGAGATTAAGAGCTCACCGACCAAGAAGGAGGAGGAGGAGGAGATGGTCGACGACGGCCTCCCGCTGTGTAATATGTTTCTACCTCGAGGGAATGTCCAGCTGGACGCCCTTTGGTTGCCTCCGTGTTTCTTCTCTTCCCTTCTCTTGTCCTGAGCTAAACGTCTAGAGAGGCCCCCTTCCTCGACACCACCGTTTGTTCTTACAGTAAAATAAAAACGAGAGAGAGAATAGCAAGATTCGACCTCAGACGTCGCAGTCGAAAGCGAGCAAAGGGATCACAACGATCGCACACTCTGCCGTACTAGGCAGCTTACGGATAGCCCTGACCTGACCTTGCCCTAAGCAACCAAATTCCCATCCCCTCATTTCTGCTCAGGTTCTCTAAAGTTAACACGGACAACAACTCCGCTCCCGCTCCACGCAGGGTACTTGGTAAAAAGAATGTGGAGAAGTTCATCTCTGATGCTCTCGGCCACCAAAAGCAACCACACGCCAGCTCCGCGGCTTGATATCAGCAACTCTTTTCATGTCTAATTTTCACCTACGGGATAAGTCGACGTGGATCCGCAGAAGTGCGAAAGCAGCGGAAATAGAACACCAGAAGGCGGTCAGCTTTTTCGCCCTGTCTTCCAAGTTTTTGCGCCCCTCAACCGCCCCCTTCTCAAGTTCGTAATCCGCTATTTGACCTCAAATTAGCCCTCTTTCTCACTCAGACCCCCCGGTACATTCTAGACTACCCCTCAAAGTCTTACAATTCTGCCCATGAATTGAATTAACGCGTTTTGACTTGGTCTCAGGTCGCTTCGAGACCACACATTCCGAAAATTCCACACAGAAGAAAAAGACCCTTGTCACACGGCTCCGGCGATATGCCGAACGCAAAGTTCAATGTCGTCTGATCAGAGCGGCATGACAATATCGCTGTCATTGTTGGTCTTATTAACCGCGCCAGAACTCTAACAATGCTAACTATGACGACCCAGTAAGCTCCGTCCTTGCCGAAAACTCTCAGCCTGCTCTCCTTTGCTCGGTCGATATCTGTCAATGATCCATTGATATGACCACATGGATTGTCGGTTGCGAATGTGAGAGAAGAGCACCTCAAACCTACTGCCAACATGACTAGCCGTCCGTAAGAAGATCAAGCTCTGCGCTAATTATCCCTACTAACGCTGGTTGTGTTCTCTCCTGAGTATGTTGTCATCGCTGAGCTTGAAGCACCGGGACGCTAACGAGTCACCAGCGACGATGGTGGTGGTTATATGCTCGGCATATGATCTTCCGAGGAGATTGTCTGCGATTACCCGACGTCCCAACAAGGTTCACCTGCGTTAGTTTCGCAGCGCCACAAGCACCATCAAAAGTGGAGGTGACGGACATCCAGGCGTATTTAGCAAGACTCGTATGAAGACCTGACAACGACAGGTCGGGGTGGTCAGGGGTGACCAACATCAGGGAAAAGCAGGGGAGGAAGTTTCCCCCTGTCAGACTGCCATAGAAGTGCAATGCTACGTCAATCTTGATATGATGGCGCATGACCGCGGGGCGATTGCAGACGGTGCAATCTTATGGAACGTCCATCAGCAAGAATCGAAGCCCATACAATGGTCGCACCGCATGTTCCAATATGCCAGGGACTAATATAACCATTGCACCTGTCTCACGATATACACGGCCATTTCCTGATCTACGATGCACACACCGTGCCCTTATCCTTCTCAATTATACCTTCGCATTGGATCCCCCGAGTTTCTCAGTTGTTCAAAATCGCTTCGATCCCAAACCATAGTGGCACGTGAGAAGTTCTCACGAGCACGTGCCTGTTCCTCTGAGCGGTCCATCTGCAATTGTCGTCATCGAGCTCCCAACCACTGCGCGGTACTGCGTCAACTGCGATTAGGAATCCGCAACGACCGGAGCGACAATGCAAGGCTTATAAATCGTGCTGTCAACTAGTTTCTTGCTTGTTGGAAACAATATGCTCTGGAAGATATATCTGCTGTCGTTGACCGCTCTGGTTGGGGCCAGTCAGCTCCCTCTGCCTGGCGATACATGTACCCTTCGTGATCATAGTGTTCTTCCACAGCTGAGCAAGTACATCAACTCCCTTGCTAAACAGTTCAAGATCCCTGGGTTGTCTCTTGCTGTAGTCTATGCGGATGACGATGAGCCAGAATATTTCAACTTGGGTGTCCGCTCTGAGGAAGGCGAGTCCTCTAGTGAGGACGTACGGGACTCCTGCCTTCAACCAGGTCACATAACTCACGATACCTACAGACACTGTACTGCATCGCCTCCAACTCCAAAGCATTCACGGCCACCGCTCTCGGAATCCTGATAGACGACTTCGAGCACGGGCGGAACGTGACTGCCCTACCGGGCGGGGTCGAATTCGGTTGGAAGACAAAGCTGGCAGACCTCTTGCCTGATGAATGGGCTCTGAAAGACCAGTGGGCATCGGAGAAGACAAATCTGATCGATATGTTGAGTCATGTTACCGGGCTTCCTAGGTTGTTTATTTCGGATTTTTCGGCCAACGCATGCATCTGACCTGAGGGCAGGCACGAGTTTTCTTATGCGCCAGGAGAAACGCTGCAAGAGATGGTCGAGACACTGAGGTACCTGGAGCCTACATTTGAGTTCCGAGAGAGGTTCCAGTATAATAACATGGTGAGATTCCAATCATGATTACCATCTTCCCTAGCCATGCTCACCAAATTCGCAGATGTACTGCACTGCTTCCTATATCATCCAGAAGTACTCCGGTCAGAGCCACATGTCGTTTGTCGCAGAACGTCTGTTCAAGCCTCTCGGAATGAACTCGTCCACTTTCTTCCCCGAGGTTGCCTTCAATTCGGGCATGCTTGCGGAATCCTGGCTGGATACGGCGGGTCCGGGGTTCAACGAAACGAGGAGAGTGCCATACTTCCTTCCGGAGTGGACGGAAGCTGTTGTTGCCTTGAACGCTGGTCCTGGAGGAGTGATCTCGAGCGCCAGAGATCTTGTTTGTCGCACTGGTCTAAGCGGCATCTTCTTGCTAACAATCGTATGCTAGACTCACTGGGTTCGCACTCTTTTGAATGAGGGAACGAACCCATTCACGAGAGAGCAAGTTATCCCCAAGAGCGTTTTGGACACGGTTACAGTGGGTCATTCGATGGAAGCAGGAAAGGGGATGTTTCCTGAGCTGTCGCCAACAGTCTATGGGGGAGGTTGGGAGCGATGGTCCTATGCTGGGCATGAGGTGCCGCTCGTCCATGCGGTAAATGATCGAAATGCTGATGAAAGCGCTTTAGATGATACAGCACGGTGGTAGCGTGCCTGGATTCAGCAGTGCGATCACCCTGCTTCCAGGTGATGGCGTTGGTATCCTTGCGTTGAGCAATGGAGATGGGATGGGGTTTATCCTGCTGGCTCTTACTGCCAGGATAATGGAGGAGCTATTCAGCCTTCCGCATATTGACTGGGCAGGACGGTACGCCTCGTCTCTTCTTTTATTCTACCTATCTGATCCAGCGTGGATAGCTTTCGTAATGCCACCGCTGATGAAGAACCACATGCTAGTGAACCTGTCACCGGACCATCTGCATCGGAGACATTAGCTCCCATCTCTCAGTTCGCGGGCACATACGCACGCCCTGGGTACTACGGCAACCTAACTCTCTGCGCCTGGCCCTCCGACCCCACAAGCGCTTGCAACGCCGTCCTGTCCGACTACGCACTCGCCGACCCCGACTTCGTCTCGCAGAACAAGACGACGCTGTACGCCTTCTGGGGGCGGGTATTCGTCAGCCACGTCAAGCTGTCTCAACTCTCCAACACGACTTTCTCGCTCCAGGCTGACAGTCTCTACGTCTCCGGGTGCGGGAAAGACACGTCCCCGTTTTATGTCCGACGGAATCCGCAAGGGGGCGCGTTGGCCGAGTTTGGATTCAGGGATAGCAAGGTGAGCGGGTTTGGCGCGTGGGGGTTGAGTGCCGGGCCAAGGGAAAGGGTTCCTGGCCAGCCGGAGACGAGCAGCGAGGCCTGGTTTGATAAGGTTGAATGATCTGGATATTGGATTTGAATACTGTATGGATACTGTATGTGATATCTTGCATTCGTGTCTTCTTCGTTACGTTGTCCGCCTGGTCTAATACCTGATCTAGGCTCGGAACCCACCAAAGCAGGATGAGGATTCCCCAAATAGGAAAAGAGGAAAGCCATCGGCGGTTCCTAAGACACACGTCTCTCCATCTGCGGATCAAGCTTTCCTCTCTTCTGTTGAAGGTCAACAAGTCTCCCCAAAGCGATTGGCCGTTCTTTTCCATGCCAAATTAGAGGATTTCGCTCCTTTCTTACGGCATACTCTTATTCCTCTCCATGGGGGGCTGACAATAACCCCTGGAGGCGTGTCTTTCACTCCATCCCGGGCACATCCCATCCCATCCTCTCTTCTCGTTCTATCGCCACCTTGTCTCCTTCTCGGCGAGCGTCCAGCCTCTCTCAAACGCTTCCAACCCCCATCGCTCAATCCCGCCAACATACGAAGCGCATTCCGTCTCAGTACGCGTTCGTCTGACTAGCACGAGCCAGCGCCAGCATACTCCAAACCCGTGCTCCAACTTCACGGGAACCCCCCGCCTCCAGAGTACGGACATCAAACCCGCATGTCCACAAACCCGCATGCCCACAAACCCGCATGCACAAACGCGCGAGCGTTCCCCTTCCTACCATGTCCCCTCCCCCGAGTCTGCACGGGCAACGGGTAAGGGCTGCTAGACAGATAGGGATGGAAAGATAGATGGATAGGGATGGGGCGATGGATGGATAGAGGAATAGATGGGTTCTGTGCCTCTGTGGACCTGGCACGGCAGTCCCCGGTATGTTGGTATTCTGTCCTCTTCGTGCAGTTGTATTCAGTAGCTGATCGACCGCAGACCTTTGACACAGCCTTCTCCTCGAACAAGACCTCAATATGCACGTGACCACCTCGTCACTCCTGGTTCGCTAACACATCAGGGAACTCACCTTTGAAAGACAGGCCGAGGCCGATAGACCGGGATCCCTCGGCTCCCTTGTCTGATCTGAGACGAGGGGCCTGGTACCAGTCATTTGGTTGTCTGACTCCCTGGCCGACGCATGTCCGGTGTCCTTGGTGTCTGATGTTGAGAATCACGTAATACAGAATCTAGATCTGATCTGGCGCTGTATGACTCGCCCCATGTGCTCTTTTTAGCCGGTTGATGTACCCGAGCGAGTCACCGCGTGTTGCCCAGACACCTGTCCTAGGGTCAGATGGGTAGTTTTAAATGGAGTTTTATATCCTATCCTGGAAAAAGAAGCGCGTTCCGCCTATGAAAGTTTTCCTGCAAATGACCAAATACCCTGCCATGCCCTATTGCATTTTAGGTCAACACACGGTGAGTGGCACGAGGAGAGGACCCAGAAGTGTGAAGGAAGACTTGTGCGGTTCTTGGAGTTGTTCTTTCTGCTCCCGGAGCGAAACGTGACGAAACGAGAGAGGAGGGGAATGTGCACTCATGGTCAGACGACACAGAGGGAAGAGAACTGCAGGAACGATATGCGAGTGTCTGAACCTCCTTTTTAGGACGACTCTCCCGCTGATCTACCGGTGGGTGTCTATGAGAGGCCTCTCATGGGCTGATGAGGATTGGCCAGTTGGCAGGACGTGATGATATTAGTTATTGTCACACGTGCATATTATGCATATCATCACCGTCCTCAACATCCATTCGAGCCACCGTCGACCGGGTAAGCCGCCGAACATACTGATTGCGAATGACCTAAGCGGTACTCACCGGAGGCAAATGCGTGTGGAAGCGAGTACCTCCCAAGTGAGAAGGTGTGAGAAATTTGATTCCATATCGAGAAGACCGCACCAGTCGCCCGCCTCTCGTTCGCCAGAGGGGGGGGGGATTGTCCATATGAGGATATGAGAGGAATAAGGGTAATAATATACCGCATTCAACCTCTTTCAACCAACAATCTTGTGCACCAAAGTACCCTTCTGGTCGTATCCCACCACATCACGTATCATCTCACCCCCTCCGAACACTTCATTTGTTGACTGGATTTTCACTTTCCATGTGCTTATCCACTGAACCCGAGATCTTATAGTACAAATACCCCCCCCCCCTCAACCTCAGGCACACATCATCCAACAGGGACCGCAACGAACACACCAACCACGACAACCCTTCTCATACCTCAACGACAATGTCTGACGGCGGCGACGATCTCCAGTGTGGTGCCGTATCCAACGATGTCACCTATTTCGGCCTACGCATAGGCAGCATCTTCATCATCATGGCCACTTCCATGATTGGCGCTCTCTTCCCAGTGCTGGCGAGGAAGGCACCGTGGTTGCATGTACCCCAACAAGTATTTGAGTGAGTCTTCTTATTCTTGAATCGCTCTGCACTTGCTCATCCATTCGACAGCTTTGCAAAATACTTCGGTTCGGGGATTATCGTGCGTCCATCCATACACTTCTCTCCCTGCTGACTAACATCCTGCAGATAGCAACAGCATTCATACATCTTCTCGCTCCAGCATTTGACGAACTCACCTCCCCCTGCCTACAGGGCACATGGACAGAATACGACTGGGCACCCGCGATCGCCATGATCTCCGTATTCATGGTCTTCCTCGTCGAGCTCTTCGCTTTCCGTTGGGGGACTGCCAAGCTGAAAGAGCTCGGGATAGACTATGATGCGCATGGGCACGAGGCCGGACCGGGAGGACATATGAGCGCCCATGGACCGGAGACTCCGCGCGAGGCCGACCCCGAAGCAGCGGCCGAGTACGCCGACAAGGAGGGCCTGGAAACTGGCACTAAAGTCGCGGAGCACAGGCACGGCCATCATGCCAGCGGCTACGGGCAGGATACCGCGCGTGGAGGGGCGCCCACCTCGGGCGCAGCGCAGATCCTTGGTGTCGCTATCCTCGAATTCGGTGTCATCTTCCACTCTGTCATCATCGGTCTCACCCTCGCCGTCGACCCCAACTTCATCCAACTCTTCATCGTCATCATCTTCCACCGTAAGCCCCTCCTTCCCCGTTCACTGACCCCCGTAACCCGTTGTGACAGAAATGTTCGAAGGGCTGGGTCTCGGCACTCGGTTGGCGTTCCTCGACCTTCCCCGCGCATACCGCTTTGCCCCCACCCTCGGCTCCATCCTCTACGGCCTCGTCACCCCTATCGGGATCGCCGCCGGCCTGGGCGTATCCTCGACCTACAACCCGGGGTCGACGACCGCATCCATCGTCTCCGGCATCCTGGACGCCACCTCTGCAGGTGTACTGTTATACACGGGTCTGGTAGAGCTCCTCGCACATGAGTTCCTCTTCAACCCGGATATGGCAGTGGCGAGCAATGGCAAGGTACTCTATGCCGTAGTGTGCATGCTCACAGGCGCGGGTGTGATGGCCCTCCTCGGCCGGTGGGCATGAGCGTCATCGGTTTTCAGGTTATCAGACGGCGAGGGAACTGTAGAGGGAGCATAAGTGTACGAGTCTCCTAGACCCCTGTATGCGGACGGCAGAGAACGAAGAGCCGAGATCTACCGTCGGGAAATGACCACTTAATTTTGATCCACTGTTAATATTTGATGTGTGCGTGTGTGGTGGTATGTGGCTGGGATGGATGGCCTGTGGCAACTGTGCTGGGGGAGGATAGGGGAGGTGGATATGCGGTCACGTGTTGAGGTGGACGGGAGTCATGTGAGGGCATCTCGGCCGACATACGGCTCGAGACAACAACACGAGCGACTTTTGCCTGTAGAGGGATGGGGGAAATGCCTATAGCGACATGAGGGTTTGCTAGTGACCGGACGGGAAAGATATGTCAAAGTGCCTTGGATTCTGAATGTGTGCTAGAGCTTTGATATGTGTATTCACCCTCTTTTTGGATTGTGTCGATATCCAGAGTACTTCGATGTTACCTTCTTCCTTTCTATTATTTGTGATCTCAAGCTACTGGGAAAGATATGTTGTGGACACCGGACAAATTATGACTTCCGGCCATTCTCTGCTTACGTCATCATATTCCTGAAAGTGTCGCGTCGTGATCGCTGTATGCGCGTGTCTACAACACTCTCCTTTCGACTCGCCTCTGCGCTTTCCCTCCCTCTCCCCAAGTGAATCATCATGTCGAGTGGGAAAGATCGAAGAGCAGAGATAGAGGCGAAGAAAGCAAAGCTTGCGGAATTGCGCCGGATGAGGGAGGAGAGGAAGGCAGCGTCCCTCGCAGAAGCTGCTTCACGCCGGGATAGCGAGGTGCGTGTGTGCACCATACACTCAATGCAGAATTTAACTATGATATAGATACCTACCTCTACCCCGGCATCTAGGGCAACATTTACAGATGTCAACGACCTGGTCGCGTCTCTTATCGGGCCTAGAAGCGAGGCAGGAGTAGGGACATCGACCGATCTGCCGCACTCACGAGGGTCTATCCCTCCGTCCCCCGGAGGGGGAAGGGTACCGACCCCCGCACTGGGTGTATCTGGACTGTCATCTTCTGCAAGGGAAAGTGATGCTGGATCGGATCGACAAATGTACGGTTCGGCGCCATCTGGGCTTGCGCATGACTCTTCGGGCCATGGATTTGAGTGCGTTTGTGTGTGCTGATGCTTGGGAAAGACTGATTTGCCAATGTAGGCCATCGCCCATGCGAGTCACCGTCGATCTGATAGATGTAGAACAGGACCTTTTCGAATTTCCTCAAAAGGTGATTCGATTCTTCCCCTGTGTGTTTATGGTGAGGCATTTAGCTGACGGCCCCGCAGCAAAAGGTCATGTACAACAAAGAGATCCAGACTGCAGACCTGGAGAGCGACGACGAGAAGCGTCCTTCGGAAGACGAGATTCGGATTCGGATCCAGAAGGAGGAAGCTGAGCGAGCTGCGAGAGAACGAGATATTGAGGAGGAATCAATACGGATGGAACAGGAGCTAGTAGCGGATATTAGAGGTAACTCTGGGACTGGATCATATGGATCGCAATTGGCTAACATTATACAGTGCTCACTGAGGAGGAGAGGCTTGGGATTCTTCAAGATCCGGGCTTTATCGACTTTGTGGATCAGTCCTCTAAGATCGTCCAACGGGCATTACAGGATCGATATGACTACACTCGCGATTACCGCATCAGCACAGATGTGGCTGCGTGCGTGTTTTGTCTTGTGTCATTGGATTACGCTGATGACGATCCAGGGATGAGCTGGAAGGGGAGAAGGTAAAGCGCGTATGCGCATTTTTCGACGACCGATGGACTAAGAACCGGTCCGTGACCGATGTGGACTGGTCTCACAAGTTTCCCGAACTCTGCGTGGCGGCGTATAACAAGAATCCAAGTGCGCTGAATGACCCAGACGGGGTTGTGCTGGTTTGGAACATGCACCTGCTTGAAAGACCAGAGTTTGTCCTTCATTCGCAGGTGAGTTCAGGCAGCGCCTGCACGACATCTAGCTAATCGGAGCAGTCCGATGTCTTGGCTGTCAGATTTTCGCCGTATCAGTCTAATCTTATCTTTGGCGGAACGTATTCTGGCGAAATCCTGCTCTGGGATACAAGGCATGGAAGGCATCTCCCGGTTTTGAAGACGACCCGGTCGTCCATCGGTGGACACTTCTATCCGGTGTACAATATGCAGGTGGTGGGCACCCAGAACGCGCACAACCTGATCACGGCGGATACGGATGGGAAGGTCAATAGCTGGCTGGTCGACATGCTTGCGCAACCCCAAGACTTTATCCAGCTGACCCACAATGGACACAGCAAGACAGACGATGTCGCTGTCAGCGCGATGGACTTTCCGCCGAACGAGACATCGATGTTCTATGTTGGCACAGAGGAAGGCAGTGTCTACCAAGCCCTGAGGCACGATCGCGCCGGCGTCAAGGCAGGATTGCATAATGCCGACGTGTATCGTTCGCATCGTGCGCCTGTGACGAGCTTGTCATGCAACAAAGTAGCTGGCGCGGTCGATTTCTCGGACTTATTCCTGACGGCTAGCATGGACTGGAAGATCAAGTTGTGGCGAGGTCGTGCGCCCGCGGCCGGGCAAGTACAGCAGCTGCAACAGGGGCAGCAGGCACACGAGGTCCACCCTTTGCATACGTTCGACGGTGCCGACGAGCCTGTGTATGACGTTAAGTGGCACCCACAGAATCCGGCGCTGTTCGGTGCGGTCGATGGGTCAGGCAAGTTTGACTTGTGGAACCTCAACGCGGACACGGATGTATGTGCTCATCTGTTAACGCCGTCTGTCTGAGCTAAGTTATCTACAGGTGCCTACAGTGTCAACGTCTCTCTCTAACCGAGCGCTGAACAAGCTTGTGTGGGAATCGAAAGAAGGTCGGCGGGCAGCGATCGGTTCTTCCGAAGGAAGGGTACACATCGTCGATATTGGCGAGTTGGCGATCCCACGCGAGTCCGAATGGACCGATATGCAGCGTGTCATCGCTGGCATGCCTATCGCACGGGAGATGCCGATCTTCTTGGAGGGCGAGGGGCGCGGTCGGGTTAGCTCGGGGGGCATGGGGTATGGTGAGGGCGGGAGAGGGTTTGGAGGATATGACAGGCGGACAAGCGCGGGCATGTACGGTGTTTGAGGGGGGTGCTGGCAGAGGGAGGTTACCCGAATGCATTATACCACTGCCGTACTACAAACTGCTGGGAACCATATACATGTACTAACCAAATACCCTTAGCTGCCCGACTGGTATATCTGTGTCGTTCTGCGTTTTATCATGCTGTTTGTCCAACGTGGTTGGATGAGTCCCCTCCTCAACTGGCCCTAGGCCCGTTTCACCCCCTCCTCCCAGCAAACTACCAAAAAGCTCGTCAACCTGTGCTTCCCCCCAACCCCTGACAACCACAGGCATAGACGGCATCATAAACCTCCTCAGCTTATCATGCACCTCGTAGCGTATTTTCCGGCCTTTACTGGCTTTGGTATCGACGCGCGGCTTGAGCTGTTTCGACCTCCGGTTGGGCAGAAGCTGGGTGAGCGCCTCGGACGAGAGGGTGCCGGGAAGGCGGCGGGAATCGATAATCTCACGGAGAAGGGAACCATAGAAGTCTCCGTCTGAGAAAGTCTCTTGCTCGTCACTGGTCTGGGCGGTGTTATTCCCTCCTTCCTCATTACCGTCCACGTCCGTTTCTTGTGCTTGTCTGTCTTGACTACCAACGCTAGGCCCCGCAAGCGCGTCGTGTTTCGCACCTATCCTCCTTTCCCCATGAACACGTCCGCGTGTCTTCCGCTTCAGCCCATCGTTGGCCAAAGCCATCTCCACAGCCTGCACGACATCCCTCGGCGTCTCCCCTGCTCCAGTCCCGTTCCCATCCCGCATCTGCTGTGCAAACTTGGATGTGCCGGTTCCCTGTTGACCTTGCGGCTGGAAGAGCGTGGGATGTACGGCGAGTACTTTGCTGCTCCATTTGCTCAGAGTCTGGAGGGTGTATGCATGAGTGTGGGCGGTGAGCTGAGAGTGGTAGGCGTGTGCGGTATGCAAATGTGTGGCAAAGTCATGCTCGATCGAGGCTCTATCGTTGGCTTCGTCTTCGTCCACTTCGACGGTGGGACGTTTCCGCTTTAGCGGACGCTCCTCCGCGTTCATCCCATTCAGGTTACATAGAACCTCCTGTACACTTGCAAGTTCCTCTTCTAAACCTCTCAGTTCCTCTTCTAGTTCCTTCACAGCGTCCCTCGCAGCGTCATGCTCCCGATATGCTACTATAGCGTCCGGAAGCGGAAGTCGGTTTGCGATGGTGACTGATTTTTGGAGTGCGATTCGAGACGACAGGAGTGCGGCATGAAGGGTATGTTGTTGTGTGATAGCATTCCCTTTGAGCGTAGTACTGTTATTCGTTGGAGGAGGAGATGCCATTCTGTGTGGTGTAATTCCAAGTGTGAAAAGTGCTAATTACCGTAAATGTATTTTATTGTATTGATTACATAATGTGTATCAGGGCAATTTTTTGGTGATTGAATTTTGCTTCCTTTTGGAGTTTTCACTTTTGGATTGAAAAGAGTCAACGACAGTCAAACAACCACTTTCAACAGTGGACGAAGGGGAGTCGAAGTATACTTGAAAAGTGCATATACCTCGAATGCAGAGATGACAACGACCAACTCACACCTTAATCAACCACCACGAATACAACAGGCAGCGACTATGCACGAAGAAGACGATATCATCGACATCGAGGGCGACATATGTCCGGTGTGCGAGTTCGAGTGCACATGCAGAGCAGCCTCCTCAAGTAGAGTAACAACGACAACTTCGACCGTATCTGTCAGTGCGAGGACACTACCGCACACGTACCCGGCACCGTTCAACACCGTCGTCGCACCCGGCCACGTGCCAAGCGGGACATTCGGCGTATTCGCTCTCAACTCCGGTCCAACAGCGAGCATCTTCCCAGCACCGTCACCCATCATATCGCAGAACAAAAAGTCAAAATCTACTATCACCACTACCAAAAAGGCAACCGCGGCCGTCATTGTGAAGAAGGAAGATGAGGAGAAGAAACTGGGGGTAAAGATAAAGGTCAAGCCGCTCTCTTCGGTCAACGTTGGGACCTCGCTTGCTGCACTCCCGCCGAGAAAAAGAGGACGACCGAGCAAGGTAGACCTCGCAAAACGACAGGCGGAGGAGGCAAGGCTTGCCGCCGTGGCCGCTTCTGTCATGGCTGAACCGGACGACGCAGAGAGCACCAGCACGCTTACCGACCTTGATGATGATGAGCAAGGTCGTGCGACACCGCGTCAAAGAGAACGTAGAGACAGCGGCGAGTTCCCCACGTTCATATCTGCATTCACGACATCCTCTGCTGCGTCCGATACGGGCGAAGAGGAGGACAGCGAGGACAGCTTGGATCTTGACTCAGGAGACGACACTGAACTAGAGGAGGAGGAGGAGCGCGCCATCGTTAGAGAACATGAGGCATTGGAGGGTGGAAAGGGAAGCGGGACAGACGCGGAGCAGAGGCGGAGAAGATGGGCATGGCAGAAGGAGAGGAGGGAGAGAGAGCGGCGTGTCGAGCAGGGCGAGGAAGATGGTGCGTCCGAAAACGACATCGGCCACCGCCGCACTGGAAGGGAAGAGGAGCAAGAAGAGGAACAAGAAGAGGAGGATCCAGAGCTAGACGATGCGCACACTAGCTTGGAGCTCACACCTCCCGACGCGCTTGCACCTGTGCCGGACCGGATCCGCACGCAAGAGCAGGAGCCATACTGGACTGAGAGCGAGGACGACGAGGAAGACCGATTCTTTGGTCACTTATCAGACTTCTCCGACTTTCCGTCCGACTTTTACCAGCGGAAACGAGCGCGCGGGGATGCTAGGGGAGAGGACACGGAATCGGACGACGATGATCTGAGTGACGGGTCGATCTTGAGCAGTGTCAGCCTCGCAGAGGCGGCACAGAGCGGGTTATATGACTACGCTGCTTCTGCCGGGCCCTTCCTACGCGCAAAACGAAAAGAGAAGCGTCGGTCCTGGTCCAAGTTGGACTCTCCTGGCACCATGCCGCATTCCCGGCCCCAGTCACGCACTCATCTTAACGGTAATAACGTTGGCAACAACCGCAGCTCGCGTTCTTCCCCTCGTACCCATTCTAGACAAAAGTCACACGCCTTCTCTTACGACGAGAAACGCCACAAGCGGTCAAAACGCAGGGAAAAGCGGCCCAAGATGGTCCTTGTCGAGGACGGAGAAGGCCGGTTGGTGTTTGGCGAAGAGTGGGAGCACGACAGCTGGTTGGGATCCGGGAGCAGTGGAGATGGGGAAGAGATGATGGAGCTGTTCCCTTCGGAGGACGAGCAGACCGGCAAACCCGTCGAAGCTGGTGATCAAGAAGATGGCGAAGGGAGGGATGCGACTGAGCCTGAGCCGGAAAGGCTCGCTTTCGTCCCCATGTCCCAGCCGGACGAGCTCCTTGCTCCTCTTCCTCCCCTGCCTCCGCGTGCAACACTCACCTCGGAGCTGGACGACGCTATCGATATGGATTCACCTGAATCGAGCGAGTGGACCGGAGAGGGGGAGACGACGGACGAGGAGGACGTGCCTGGTTTGAGGCAAGAAGAGGCAGAGGCGATGTTCGAGCTTGGGCTGGTAAGGACGCGCTCGGGCGAGCGGCTCCCCGAAGTGCAGCCGGAGAACATACTGGGCTTGGGAGTGGACCCGGCTGTGCAAGCCATGCTCCCCCCACCGACACTCGCGAGCGTCATCGCCTCTGCCGCCGCTGCCGTATCAGTCCCTCCCGCACCGATGGGCGCACCAGCAGTCTCCTTCCAGCCCATCCAAACCCCGCAAAAAATCGCTCGCCCCGTTCGCCCACTCCCAGCTCCCCGCACCCCCGGACCCGGACCACCCAAGCTCCCTCGCGCGTACCCCGTTCCTTCCCTATCGACCTGGACCCCCCCGGTCCAGAGCGTGCGAAGCATGGTCTTTGTCGTGGATGGGAAGGATGCGAGTGGGATATCGCCTTTTGCCAAGATACGTAGAGGGACGGAGCTTGATTGCTGGGGTACGAAACGGAGAAGAGAGAGTAGCAGCAGGAGCGAAGCGAGCTGGTACTATTCTTCTTCGTCTAAACGGCAGCGGACGGGGTATGACGACGAGCGCGAGCACGAGCGAGACGACGGAGATCAAGACCCTTCTGCCGGCTCCTCCCTCGGCGAGCCTGCTCCTCAGGCATCACCCGAGCCTCACGCGCTAGATCTTGCAGACCTGCTCGACACCTCCTACTTCCTCTACGATGAGAGCATCGCCTCCTCCGAAGCGGAGGGTGAGTCTCGTGACCCCGATCGAGAGCGAGACGGGAAGGAGAAAGAGAAAGAGAAAGATCAAGACCGCCTAGGAGAAGACGGGGAGATGGACATCGACACACAGATAATGCGCCACCTAACCCGGCTCGACTCTGTCCCCCTCGGTCAATGGTTCCGCCGCGCCCGCGCGCAAGGCGCAGAAGCGGGTATGGACGTAAGCCTCTCCGTCGCCGCTTTCGCAGTAGATCATGAAGGTGACGACACGCTTCTCGCCCCTGACCTGGTGGGGAGGATGGTCGTCCTCTCCCCAGTGATATTCCCTTCCCGCCAGGCGGTGCCGGAACGCAGTCCGAGCCCGGTGATGCTCGACTCTGAGTACCCGGGCTCGGCGCCGACTTCGCATGCTATGCGCCCGCTGAGCAGTATATCGTTGCGTGCGGCGCTGAGCGCGAATAAAAATCGGGAGGTCAAGAGTCATAAGGAACGGAGGAGGGAGAAGAAGATGTGGAAGAAGGGGAAGGGGGGGATTGATGTTACCCCTAGGGTGAGGAGGGGGAGGACGTTCTGAGCTCGGGCGTCGATGTTGACGTTGACGTTCCTTGCTGGACAAAAGGACATCACTCGCTGGACACGGGGCATGGTGTACAGCAAGTGATGGACCAAGTTCTGCAACCCATTTCTCATATCTCATATCTCATTGCTTCATTGCCTCATTTGATTGTTCGTCGATTTCCATGTCTAGTACGCACCGTACGCACCGTACGCCCGTACCCCCCAACCCGGCTACAGCCCATCCACACTGCTGCACCACTGCACCACTGCACTCCCCCACTCTCACAATTCCTGACCAGAATCGCCGATTCCTCGTTCCACTCTGTAGCTTGGGCTTGGGCTTGGGGGTTGGGGGTTCGGGCTGTATATTAGCTTTTAGTTTCCACCTTTTAGCATGTTCCTGTTTTCCGTTTTTGTTTTTGTTTCACGTTTACGTTTTACGATCTACGATCCTGATTGTGAATCTGACTCTGACTCTGAATCTATCCATTCCATTCTATCCAAGTTAGCGGAACATTATTTGACGAATACCCAACAAACTATAACCCCAAAGAAAGAACACAACAGAGTACAAACAAGGAAACACTTGTGTACAGATAGCCGGTGTACAGTACTGTATATTATCTCCCATCTTCCTGCTCCCATTTCCCATCTCCTGTTTCCCGTTTCCCATCTTCCAGGAGTCAGCTGTCACTCCACTTCGAGGTAAACGACCTTTCTCTCCCCGTCTCTTTCCCCATCTCTCCCATCGTCTCTTTCTTCTTCTTCGTCCTCCTCTCCCTCCCCTTCCCGTTCGGCCTCAGTCCCCCCACTCCCGCTCCCCCAGCTAGCCCTCGAACCTAATTCAAACCCTTCCGGACTCGTCGACCCCGACTTCTCTGGGAGGGGGTCGGGTTCCCAGGGTCTGTGTTTAGGAGTGCGAGGTCTGGGGGATGGAGAGCGCGGGTGGGGATGGGGCCGAGGATGGGGGCGGTGGGAGTAGGGGTACGACTGGGTGCGGGACGAGTGAGTGAGGTGAGGATGCCGGGTACGGTAGGGTGGTTTTCCTCTGCTTCCTCTTCCTCCTCCTGCTGCTGCTGCGGTCGATACCGACGAGCTTGCCTGGTCTCTTACCTCCCCCTCCCCCTGCTCCTGCTTCGGCAGTACCTGAGCCCTCGCACATGGCCTAACCTGCTCCCCAATATGTCTCAAAAGGCTCTCCATATCCTCCCTAGCATAGCCTCTTGCCCCATCCGCCAAACACAAGATCCTGTCAAAGTCTTCTGCGTAGGTGGGGGGAGTGTACTGGTGCGCGAAGCGCGCTAGGATGGAGAGGGCGTGATGGGGTGGGACTGTGGGGTGCGGGGGGCGGTGGAGGAGTCTGTCGGCGCATACCTGCAGAGCTGTTAGTAGGGAGTTAGGGGAGGGGAGGCGTACTTCTTGGGAGGTGTTTACTGTGCAGTTATGAGCTTGAATGCAAGAGGGAAGGGAAAGCATAGAGGGATCAACTCACATCCCAAAGCCCAAACGCTCACTCCCCATTTCCTTGCCAACTCCGTCCACACCCTCCTCTGCTCCGGATCAAAGTTGCACCTGTCGATACATACTGACAATCCCTGCCTGAGGGAGGACTCTGCGAGTTGGTAGACGGCGGTGCGCGTGCCGAGGTCGTCTTGGTTGCACCGGATGAAAGTTGGAAAGTGGGAGGAGAGGAAGAGGGCGAATGTTGACTGTGGGGGGGGTGAGTGAATAGGAGTGTGAGGGAGGGGGGAGGACACACTTTTCCTGATCCTATGAGACCACATAGGACGAGGACTATTTGTTTATTGGGGAACTCTGAGATGGGTGGGGAATGGGGAGTCATTGATTGAATGGGAAAGGGAAGGGGAGGAATAAGGGGGGGGGGAAGGGGAGTGGGTGAATGATAGGACAAGGGAGAGTGACTAGATAAGGCGCAATGTGGGGGAGTCATGAATATATTCCGGTCATATCGGATATAACTAACACCGATACACTGCCACACGGGATCATCCTTGTTACTCTTCACCACGCTTCACCTTCACTCTCATTCCCTTGTTCATTGTCAGACGACCACCCTCATCATGGATTAATATCCTTTTATTCATTATCAGCAATGAACGTAACAATCCTACCCCGTTCACCCTCCTCTCCTCCCCATCAACAAGAAAAAGCAGTTTCATTCTCACTCCCTCCTCAATCTCCAACTCCAGCTCCCCACGATCCAGAAATATCAGAACAAGAACTCGCCCAGCTTAGAGAAGCACTCACTAGCTCAAAGGATAGGTTATGGCTCCTCAGAGTAGGCGATACAATGGAGCGTTTATTCGCAACGGGGTACGTCCATCGCCTCACCTCATTCCATTCCCGCAACGTAGCTAAACCTCATTCCTTTAGAACCAAGAAAACCGAATTCAACCCTCCGACAAGCTATCAACGTATGCTCATACACCGCTGTGCAGCCCTATACCGTCTCGTGCCAGAATCAGACGGTGCGGGGAAACCTATTACAGTATCCCTCTCAGCGGGGAGTAGGATGTACGCCCTTCTCCCTCTTCCTCCCCGCACTGCCGCACTTAGCTAACACACCTCTCTCCTCTCCTCTGCTCCCCAGTCCCAAAACCCGCTTAGCAGACCTAGTACCAACCGAAGACCCCCAGCCAATCCCGATGCAAATCATGCGCCGCTCTACCCGTTCCGCCCTCTCCTCCTCCTCGGCAGGGGCCAACACCTCGCGCACAGATTCCGGAGAATCGGAGGACGGCGAAACGGCCAGTCGGAGGATGACGATTGCGGAAAGGGAGGCGGCGTACGAGGCTGCTAGGAGTCGGATTTTTGGTGCTGGTGCAGGGGGGGAGGGGGAGGGGAAACCTACTTCCGCTTCCGCTTCTGCTTCTGCTTCTGCTTCTGCGCCTAACTTGCTCTTCCCCCTCCCCGCGCAAGACCCACTCGCACCAGACAACGACGCCATGCCTCGTTCCTCCCCTCTTTCCCGGGAAAGGTCCCGGGAAAGGGCCAACGTGTCCCTAGACCCGGATGGAGAAGCGGATACGGATGGAGAAATCGACCCTGCGTATCTTCCCCGGGAAGAGGAAGACGACACCGACCCTGTCCCAAGGCCGGAAGTACTGTTCGCGACGCTGTATAACCCGCATTCGGATCAGGGCGGCGGCGCCGGCCCTGCTTCCCTCGCTGGCGCTGGCTCGGCTGCGGGTGCTGCGACTGGAGCGGGGGGAGGGGTGTACCCTCTTCCCGTTTTTCAGGGATACGTCCCCCTGCCTATGGGATACTCTTACCTTCCCGGAGTCCCCGGAGTGCCTGGAGTCGGAGTAGCTGGAGGGTACTTCCCGTCTTACCCGCTTGGGGTGGGAGTGCCTGTTGTACAAGGGATGGGCGTGCCTGGGATGGGGATGGGAGCTGTCGGTATGGGTATGGGCGTCGGGATGGGCATGGGCATGGGGGTAGGGATGGGCATGGGCATGGGGGTAGGTGTCGGCATGGGCATGGGAGTAGGGATGGGGATGGGAGTGGGGATGGGGATGGGCTATTATCCAGGTTATTGTGCGCCTTATATGTGGGTTGGGGAGCCTTCTGCCCAGCAGGGTCAGGGTCAGCCAGGGCAAGGGCAAGGACAAGGGCAAGGACAAGGGCAGGGAACGCCAATTCAAGGAGGGCAAGGACAAGGGCAAGGACAGGTGCGGGAGGGGGATATCCAAGGACACCCGGAAGACAGCCAGCAGGTCAAACCTGGAGCTATGGAACATCCTCAGCTGCAGCCTGTGGCAGGGCAGACGCTGGTCGGCGGGCAGCCTGGGGTGGATTTGCAAGGTCAGCAGCAGGGTCAGCAGCAAGGTCAGCAAGGTCCGCAGCAAGGTCCGCAGCAAGTCCAGCCAGTCGAACTCGGTTTCCAGCAAGGCGTGCAAGCTGTACAAGGTGGGCAAGGTGGGCAAGGCGTGTTCCCTCCCGGGAACGGGAATGGCAACGGGAATCAGCACATCCCGCTCCTCCCTTCGCTGGGCGTGTCCCTGCCTCACCACCCTAACCACCCGAGCCATCCCCAGATCCAGAACCAGAACCAGAACCAGCTGCCGACGCAGAACCAACTGCCGACGCAGAACCAGAGTCAGAACCAGAGTCAAGGCCAGAGTCAAGGCCAGCAAATCCCCTTCCTACCCAACTCCAACTCCCACTCCAACCTGGGCTCGAACAGCGACACTGGCCAGAATTTTCAAGGACCAGGACCAGGACCAGGACCGGCAGGGGCGGGGGCGTTCAACCCAAACCCGAACTCGAATCTGAATCTGAATCTGATGAACCCCGCTCTGGGGCAGTATACAGGGTATCAGCCTGGGAATCGGACGAACGGCACCGGCAACGGCAACAGCAATAGTACGGGGAACGGCAACGGCACCGGCAACGGGAAACATACGCATCTGCATCCCGGCCATCATCCCCCGCACGGACAATTCCCTCACGCCTCGCACCCTCCCAACACCCACCAGCATCATCATCCACACGGACTACGTTCCTGGCCCGGAGCAAACGGCAAGCCAGGCCCCGGTCCTGGTACGGGTGGGGGAGGTCAAGTGGGGAATGGAAGACAGATGCGGACGGCTTGGAGTTACGCACCTGCACTTGAACATGGGTTTGATAGGCTCCCCCCTGGTGCTGGTGCTGGTGCTGGTGCTGGGGCGAGGGCTGGGCCTGGCCCGGGTGGGAACATGAACATGAACCTCAATATGGGGATGGGGATGGGGATGAATATGGCTCTCGGGACGGGGATGAGCATGGGTATGGGTATGGGTATGGGCCCGAGGAGCTACTCGGGCTTGAGTAACGGTAGTGGGGGGAGTGGGAGTCGGACCCCGCTCGATGATGGGAGTTCAACTGTTGTAAGTATTTCATTTTCTTGCACGGTATACTGCTGACCCTTCCTTCTTTCCTTCTATCCATTCCATCCCACCCCATTTTATTCCATGCGACTCGACACGTCTCGACTCGACTCGACTCGCAGTCCTCGTCCACCTCGTCTTCCTCCCGCGCGACATACACCTCCATCGGCTCCGGCCGTCACCCTCTCCCGCCCAGACCAGACTGGGCGATAACCCTCCCCTCCCCCCCTAACGCAGTAACCGGTGACCTCCGGCCAACATCAGCGATGTCCACCAGCTCAGGGGTCTCTGCTTCCTCCCTCTCCCTCTCCCGCCAACCGCACCCCAGGCCTCTGGCAGTCACAGTAACCACAACCGATTTCCCTCCTCTGGGTCGAGGTGCTCCGCTTCCCCAGAAAACCCAGCTGCAGCTCGGAGCCTGGAGCGGGGGGAGCAGAGCAGTCATCGACGCGGCGCACAATACCCCCTCGTCCTCGTATGGAGAAGACTTTGCTCGCCCTGGCCCTGGAAAGCCTAGTTCGGAGCTGTACGACCCTGCACGGCCTAGAGCGCCTGTGCCTGTGCCTGTGCCTGTCGTCGCCGCCGCCGCGGGGTTACGTCCTGCTAGCGGGCTTGCTCCGGTTTGGGCTACCCCTACCACTCCCGCGAACGCGAATGCGAACGGCACTGGACCGGGCGGGTCTGTCGGCAGTCTCAGCCCACAGCTCGTACCCCGCCAGTCGACACCAACGCAGAACGGCGCACTAAAGTTGGGGAACGACCCTGTGGACACGGCCATGTCTGAAGTACTGGCTCGTCTGCAGTTAGACAAGCTCCCCGGGCCAGCGGAGGTTACCGTAGAAGGAGAGCAGGTCGCACCGACTGTGCGATAATGCGTGAGCACGGGATACCGGCCTGCACGCTGCACGTTATTGGCCCTCCCATCCTAGATCATCTTTCTTATCTTCCGTTCTGATGTCACTCGTACTCTCCGGAGATCGAGCTGTCTCCTATGCCTCCTGTCCTATTTACTCGTCTGCTGACTCGTCTCATCACTGCCTACCCTGCAAGCACAACATGTTGTATCATCAGAGCATCAGCATCGACTGAGAATGGCACTTGTTTTTCCTCCTTTCCTAATATTAATCATATGCCTCCATGATAACGTCGCGTCATTACTGAATCTAGGGATAAAAAAAGGAATTCGTGAACAACCAGAGAGAGGTAAAAGACAGCGTAACGCCTCTACGCCTTGGCGTGGGTGTGGGTGTTGGTGTGGGCATGAGCATGAGCTGCAGCCGCAGCGGCGGCCTTGGCATCTTTCCTCTTCTTGCTCTTTGACTGTGCAGCCTCAGCGACGAGCCGCTCGAGCTCTCTGCGCTCCTCGTCCGACTCGTCCGCCTTGGTACTCTTGAATATCGCGCCCAGGTAGAAAAGGCCCCTGGCCCTATTGAGCAGTACCTGATCCGACACTCCCTTCTCCTTGAGTACACGATCGCACACTTCACGCAGGACCTGGACGACCTCAAATCGCGTTCCCCGCCAGGAAGCGAGCAGGATCTTGCTCGTCATGTCCTTTTCGAGGATGGCAAGGTGTTCCTCAGGGATCTCGCCTTTCTCGGACATGCGCTCCATCTCCTGCATAGTTGCCTGCACGGATATCCTGGGAATGCCTTTAGCAGAGCCTATGAGTAGATAGACGATGGCTTACGCGCTGCTTAGCACACCGAGACCCTCCTTGATGAAAGAGCCACGCTCCTTCATGCGGGAGAAGAACCCCGGAATGCCTAGGAACTTGCGCGCCCTGAGGGCAGATGTTGCCTTGATAGCGTAGATGTCTCCGATTGTGTGTAGAAGCTATACCCTCTTTCAAAAGCTGCTCCAGCATATCCAGAGAGAAGCTCACCTCCAGGCCAAAGCTCTCAAACTTGAGCTCCTCCGCCTCGGCCCTCATCTTCTTCTCAAACGCCTCGGTATCCACATCGCCCTTTTCTCCAGGGTGCTTCGCTTCAACGAACGGCTCAAGCCTCTTTTTGAGCTTCTCCGTAAGGTCTTTGATACGCGCCTCCATCGCCGCAGCGCGTTTGGCCTCGATCTCCTGCAGCTTCTCTCGCTGCTCCTGCGTGAGCTTGTTCTTCTTCGCCCGGGCAGCAGATTTCTCCTCTTTACGCCGTTCGCTCACACTGCTCGCCTTGGACGATCGACCCGTGCTGTCGTCGATACGCAGCATCGAGGAAGAGGCGATACTGCTTTGGTGAGAGAGCGTCGGTGCTTGTGAAGGTTCGGCCGCAGAGGGGGCTTCGGGGGCAGGTGGGGCGGGAGTCGTTTCCCCCCAAGGAGTGGTGACGAAGATGGGTGTCGAAGTGCCTGCTGTCGCCCCCGCAGGAGAGGCAGTGCCTGATGCGGGCGGTGTGCCACCCGCAGGCTCGCCTTCCTCATCCTCGATGATGACGCCTGCCATATCGGACATGTCCTTAATGAGAGAGATCTCCCCCACCTGAAGCGGTGATCAGAAGTTGTATAAAGAGCACAAGAGGGATGCTTACATAGTCGCCAAATGCATCCCCACCGAAGATCTGGGCAAAGAACTCCATGGGGTCCGGGACGCCCTCCCCTGTGGCAGTCGGTTGCAGCTACTCAGCGATCAATAACTTTCACACATGCGAGTTGGAGATCAAGACGCACCCCCTTCTCGCCTTCCTTGTCGTATATCGTCTTGAGTTGAGGATCACTCAAGACCTCATACGCCCTGCTCATCTTCTGAAACATCTCGCTCGCCTGGGGCGAAGAGTTCTTATCCGGGTGCCACTAACCACCACATCAGCCATGTTTTCGTTACGACAGTGAAAAAGCGTACTATCATCGCCTGCTTCCTGTAGGCTTTCTTGAGCTCGGCGGCATTGTCGATATCGACTGACACGCCCAAGAGCTCATAGTACTCAGTCTCGCGGGGCATGATACGAATGATTGCGAACTAATGCGTTGACTACGCTGATAGGTAGGCCTGTGGTCAATGTCTGATAGAACTTCTGTCCCGCGTGCAGTAATGATATTCCGATGAGGACTTGGAGAAAGTAAACGGAAATGTTGAGTGCAAGATGGTCGAGTGAAAGGTACGTTCTAAGGGTTTTTGCTACGCGTCCCGGGATTGAATGAAACCATCTAGCGCCTAAGTCATAACGAGTGTTGAAGGCTGCGCAACACGGCCTCATTGCACTCGCACACCCGGTGGTCAGTATACACATTTTTCAAGCCAAGGATAGTCATGTATTCGAACACATCTGGACATGACAACTTCTCTAATGATACAGAAAACCAGCCACATTCGTCCTTCCAGCCACGCATTAGTCACGTGCGGTATGGGATTGACAATCAACTTCTCAGTTCTTCTCCTTGTATGGCCTCGACCAGCCAAGCTGTTCGTACGTCCATCCAGAAACAAGTGGCGGAGGCCCGTAATTGCATAGATGTACATTCTCGTCGATACTGTTCAGAATATCCATGTCTTCCTTGTCCAATGTTGGCCGCTGGATCATCGAGTCAGACAGCGTGCGGTAAGATGCGCTCAGGCACACTCACGTTCAAGTTCTCCTTCTGCCGTCCCGAATCTGTACTCTTCGGACAAGCAGTATATCCGCGTGCTAGATGCCACGCCAAGGAGATCTGCGCTGGGGAGGCGTTGTGTTTTGAAGCAACCTTGATGACTTCAGGATGTTCGCGCACTTGTGCGTAACCTGGGCAAACGTTTGTTTTGGGATTCGTGTTAAGGGGGTGCGAAGTCACGTACCGGTAGGGGAGTACGCAGTGAGCATTATCCCCCGGTCCAGACAGTACTTCACCAGCTCATTCTGTGCCAGTAACGGGTGCAGCTCAACCTGATTAACTGCTGGGACAATCTTGGCATCTTTCAGTAAGATATCGAGACTGATAGACACTGATCAGTTCTATGCCCACGTGGATCCAAAGTCAGAACGCACTTTTGGACGCTAAAGTTGGAAATCCCAATGGCACGGACTTTGCCCGTGCCTACCAGCTTTTCCATATCAGCCCACGTCTTGGAGAAGGTCGTCTCCTCGTCGAGGTCAGGCTTGCCATCAGCACGCTTGGAACCGTCAGCTACCATATAAATGAGTTGGCTGTGCCGCCTAGTGAGAAGTAATGTCACATACGGCGATAATGGAACGCCATGGGCCAATGCATCAGATACTGTGTCGTCGTCAGCTGCCTTGATCACGTTGCATACATGGGTAACGCACAAGATCGAAGTAGTCCAACCCCGCTCGCTCCAGACTTTCCTCCAGAGACTCTGCTACTCGGGCATGGTGATTCGAGCTGTTTTGAAGTCAGTGTCGTACCGAGACAACGGATATCTGTCGGGCGCAAGCTAGAGCACTCACGGTAACTTCGTCGTGATAAAGATCTCTTCTCGCGGGATACCGCTCCGGCGCACTGCGTTGCCGACGTATTTCTCAGTATGATATCCATAGGCGGTATCAAGATGCTACAACGTTCACGTCAAGTACCCTTCGGAAAGTCGAAAGTCATGACGCACGCGATAGCCGTTCTCAAGAGCAGTGAGGATCCACGGCTCAGACTTCGCCTGTTCCTCTGGAGTAGTACCGGACCAGCAGCCAAGGCCTGCCAAAAGATTAGATCGTGCACACTCCGAGCGGAAACCGGAATATCATACGAACCGATAGCAGGCATCTTTACTCCATTGTTAAGCGTGCGGATCGGAATCGTGGACATCTTCGTGAGCAAGCGTTGTGCAGTCAGAGACGGCCTCGGTGAACAGTCGCACACGACTCTCGATTGTCAGACCAATAAATATCCGCCAGCAAGCGTAGCTCGGAGGCCGGTGCGGCCAACCTCCACAGAGGAGATGACCGTTACCCGGGGTTATTCCTCATCAATTGACCCGGAGGTGACGCCTCGAATAGGCAACCGATATTGCGTCATTTAGGGTCGCTTCAGACCGATGTGACTGTGCGCAAAACAGGATTCGCTTCTGCACTTGGCATGGCCAGCAAGGAAGTTGAGATGGTTGTGTTGAAATTTGGGAAAGTGAGTTACAGGACAATAGAACGAGGTTGGCGGAAGGAACCATCTGCGCGGCTCCTTGACTTTGGGTAAAAGGAGCAAAATAACAGAACATTAGACGATTGCACCAGTGTTACTAGTACTCCTACACACCATGTACGCCTCGAGTGAAGAGATATTTAGAAATAATCCTCCTTTCCTACAGCCTCTGACAGCGCTTCTCCCTCATCTCCCGACTACTCCACCTCGACGATCTCCCTTGATCTGAATTTTGTCACCGATCCGGTACGTCTGTCATCGATTACCAGGATTATATGTGTTGGACCCGCGGCCGGCGCTTATGAGGCCTCTTCCGATAGATTTGGCGAGGAGCCTCGCTCTCTTGATTCCCACACCACTGCTCAGAGCCGGGACGCGGTTCCATAACCAAAGAGCGTTAAGAATAACAATTTTTTAGTCTCGCATTCTAGCCGGCACAAATCTCCTTATAACCACTTCTCTGACGCTGAACATCCCCAAACACCCCGGCCCGTCCAACGTCCGACCGTTGGTCCGGGTCATCGCAGGGATAGTCACATACGCAAGGATGACCGTCTTCTTCACTTGAGTATTGACACGACTGATAGTGCTGAACCAGGACCATGTGAATGGCTCTGTACTCATGCTGGAGAAGGGGCAAGAGACAGCATCCTCCGGATCTTCATATACCGGACATATGACAACGGCGAACCTGCAACTGTTAGTACTTCGGTCACTGAAACTGAGGAATGGAACACAAACTCGGCATGAGTGAACACCGGACCGCGCTTGTACAGCAGGTAATCGACACAGAACTTGATCCCGCCTCGGACAACCCAGCCCAGGGAACGGAAATGATGATAAACAATATAATTGATGAGGAAAGGGTTGTCCATGCGGTGGGACGCGGCTCGTGCTGCGGGTTGGAAGGGATTGGGAGAAGCAGAGGCGGAGAGGCAGAGCGACCAAAGGGTTTGCAGGGAGAGGTATTGACCCTGGTCGAGGTTAACAGTAGAAGTAGAGTGTTGAGATGACACTTACCGATTCAGTGTCCAGTATTCGCAGACAATCTAGCCCCCATGCAAGGAAGAATGCCTCCTGCAGCGTCAACTGCAGATGCTCCATGTTCTCTACGTCGTCTTCATCAATCGTCTCGACCCCGTCGGCTCCTTTCGTCCCATCGTCTTCCTCTGTCCGTGACGGTCGGTTATCCGCGTTGCCCTTACATGCCGCAGGCTCAAATGTCGGACGAGGAACATTATGCGGCGCTTTAGCCAGAGGCACGTCATATGTCGCCGATCCCGGAGAGGCGAGCGAAGCGGAAAACGATGCTTCTGCCTCCTGAGCAGCCTTCTGGATCGCAGCTGCTCGGGAAGCCTTGAACTGCTTTCTTTGCTCTCGCCTCTTTGCAGTGATCTCCTCGGCGGTCATTACTATCACTCTGATAAAAATTCACCTAGGAATAAGAAGAGAGAAACTCACCATCACCCCCGTTGAGCTGCATGACCCTTCTCGTCAACCACGTCGGCTCGCTGCGTGACAAACTCCCCTTGCCAAAAAATCCTCTCTCCCACAACACCCGCACATCCCCCTTTCCCGTAACCCACACGCTTCGTGTCATCGGATCATAGATAGCTGAGAACTTGGGGTTGACGATCCTTGTTGGAGAAAAGAGCCCGAGAGAGGTCGTCGACCGCGGGGTTTCGAGCAGGATGGGAAGGGGGTTGGCGTAGATGACGTTGTTATTGTTCTGGCGTCGCTTTGGTTTTGTCGGTGCCGCTGAGAGTGGTGGTGTGGACGTACTTTGTCCAGCAAAAATAGCAGCCATTATGCACAAGAAACTTGTCAGAGCTCGAAGGAGAGAGATGATATATTGTCAAAAAACAGCACTGCCACTCTATAGTAGTTGATGAGTCACGCTCTTTTAAATTTGGCCAAATTCCACTACCGTCTATCGCTTGGCGCAGTAGCGCCCGTACACTATCAGAAAATGAACATATAACCAACAGAACCAGTTACGCCATATAAGTTGCAGAGCCCAGAATAATGTCTAGATGTCCCTTTTCGCCTCTCACTGTCCCGCATACTGTACTGCCTTCTCCCGATCTCTCCCTTCCGTTTAAGTGTCGAGTTTGCGCCAAGAGTGGCAGTGCAGGACCCTTGCGCAGCCTTAAGGCACCGGAATTTGATTCCATTAGACTATTTATGTAGTCTATATGTATATAGAGACGTATTGGCCTGTGGCAGGCCAATCCATGCCATGTTATCTATTCTCCCCTAATTGATGACTCAACAGTTGGTAGCAGGAAACCACAATCTGACCTCAGTCCTTCTCTTAAAGAAACTTGGCAACAATGACTACACCCACTTGACCTGCATTGGCTCCTCCAGACTCACCTCAGAGCACCATTGTCCCAATGCAATGCATTGAAGATGGTGCCACAGTTGGCCAATGTCCACCAACACCTCACCCAAACACATCCTCTGCTGCAGAGGCAGCACACCAAGCTGCTGGTGCAGCCATCTCCATGGCTGAAGACCAGGCAAGCTTGGTGCAGTCAATTTGGGATCTGGTACAACAAATGGTTCTGCTCTCCCAGTCTTGTGAAGTACCACCAATTACAGAAGTTGTTGGGCAAGAACAGCAATTTGACTTCAACCACCTTCTGGCTGGCTGGAAGGATGCCCCTCGCTTTGAAGGCCTTACCTCTGAGAATGTAGGAGTCTGGCTTCAGGCTATGGAAGATGGCATGGAACTCTGTTGGGTTCCCTCAGAATGGAAGGTCAATATTGCTCAGTCATTTTGCAGTGTGGGTGTCTCAGCATGGTGGCATGACCTGGATCTGAAACCTGCCATATGGGAAGACTTCAAGCAGAATATGAAAGCATGCTTCTGGTCTGCCAACCAAGACATCATCAGCTATTGTGCTCTGTTCTCTCTGAAACAGGGTGACACCACCCTTGACAAGTATATCCTCAGGTTTGAATCCAAAGCAATGAACACCACCAGACTTGCTGATAAAGTCAAGGTGGCTGCATTTGTCTCAGGGCTCCAGTCCAGAATCCTTAGTCAGCTTCAGTATGACTTGGAGCAACACCCAACTGGTCTTGACTACCAGTGAGTTGTTTGGCTTGCCCAGTGATATGACAGGTCCTTCATTCCCACAGGCCCCTCCATGGGAAGTCACCAGGGTCATCGACTTCAGAAGAAAAACACCACACAAGTTTCAGAAATGAATGCAGTTGCCTCAGGTTCAGGCACCCAGCCAAAGCTTTGATGCTGGAACTGCAACAAGGAAGGTCACCAGATGAACACTTGCCCTGATCCCATTACCAATGCTGCCAAGAAGAAGGCAGAGGAATTGAAAGCCAAGTATGAGGCGGGAAAAGGGAAGGGATGCCAGTAGAGGGCCCACTGTCCATCCCAAAGAAGAGCCCTATCAGCATGTGGGCTGGCCATGAAGTCAATTGTCTGTCAAAGATGCTGTGATGCAAGAAGAAGACACCAGCTTCAATGTTGAAGCAATTGAGTTGAGTGCCCTGCCCAGAAGTGGAGGACACAGTGTTGTTTTTACCATGGAGTTACATGGCATGATGGCCAATGTGCTTGTGGATACTGGTGCTGAAGAAACATTTGTTTTGGACTGGTGGGCCAGCCAAAATGGCTCTGTTTGGTGAGAGCAAATAAAACTGTTCACTGTCAAGACTGCACTTGGACAGCAAGTGGAACAAAATGAAAGAACCCAACTGAATCTTGCTCTTGGTCACTCATATACTGGACAAGTCTTTGCTAAACTTGTGCTGCTTGCTACCTATGATCTCATCCTTGGCTGGGATTGGATCCTGAAGAATGTTAGTTACACAGACTGGGATAAGGGAGAATGGCACCTATGTGATGCTGCAGGTCACCCTCATGTCTTCTGCCCAACAGCACATCCACTCTGTGCCCAAATTTGAGAGCTCTCAGTAGTAGAGCTTGAAGACCAGACACTGCTAAGTCAACATGGCTTCTACTGAGTAATGTGCAAGCAAAAGAGCAAAACCTTCATTGCCTTGTTATTCTCAGATGAGACTCCAGCATCTGGAAAGAAGCTGCTGAATGAAGTCATGGTTGGGAAGCCACATTTTGAGGAGGAACCAGCTCCAGGCACACAAGAAGCTGTGGAGCTTGGTGAACCAAAACTGGCAGCAGTAGGGGAGCCATTGCAAATGAGGTTGCAGAAGGTACTTGATCACTACTGCTCTTGCTTCACTAAAGGTATTCCCCATGCATCCACTGTGTCACAAGAAGTAGAAGCACTTCTTGAGACAGGAGATGCAACTCCACCAGCTGAAAACCCAAGACCCATGAACCAGCCTTGGTTGCATGAACTCCGAGAACAGCTGAACAACCTCCTCAAAAAGGGTTTTATTCAACCCTCCACATCACCATGGTCATCACCAGTATTGTTTGTGCAGAAGGCTGATGGCAGTTGGCAAATGTATATTGACTACTGGGCTGTGAATGAAGTGACTGCAAGAGATTGGCATCCTCTACCACTCATCTCAGATTGTCTGGATCAACTTGGCGGAGCAAGAGTTTTCTCCAAGATCAATATGACATCTGGCTTTCACCAGCTTCAAATTGCAGCCCCACATGTTCCAAAAACTGCTTTTTCTTCAAGATATGGGCACTATGAATGGCTTGTAATGCCATTCGGACTGCAGGATGCACCAGCAGTCTTCCAACGACTCATGAACAGAGTGTTGGGACCATATCTTCACTGTTTCATTCTTGTATATCTCAACAATATCTTGATATACTCAAAGACTGAAGAGGAACACCCAGAACATGTCCGACAAGTCCTTAAAGCCTTGACAAGTGCAGACTTGTACATGAACCCCAAGAAATGCGAATTCAGAGTAACATCAATGAATTTTCTTGGACACCATATCTTGACAAGTGGTATTGCAGTGCAAGAGGAGAAAGTTGCCATGATCAAGGAATGGAAACAACTGTAAACTGTGACAGAAGTCTGATCCTGTCAGGGCACCAGCTCATTGCTTGGTCAAGAGACATGACTAAGCCTTTATGACATGGAAGTAGCTGGTATACCTTGGCA